GCACCTAATAAAAACATAAAACATATAATTCGTGGAAAACTTTGATCAAAATACTCCCGAAACATTTCGAGGGTATTTTGGTCAATTTATTTCATATAAAATATTTTTTTGATATTTTTTGAAGATTTTGATATTTTTTATGTATACATGATCCAAATTTCAAGTGATTTGGTGTAAAAAAAAAATTTTAAAATTCAAATACTACCGTATATCCGTGATCGTTAGATCTGCCCAGATTCAATTTGGGCCGTTAGGCTCATTTTTTCTTTGAGCTAGTGGGCTCACCTTAGCATCTTCTATATGTAGAAAAAGCTGGGGTTAGCCCACTAGCTCATATGAACATATGAGCCCAACCGTCTAGATTGAATTTGAGCCGATCTGACGATCATGAATGTCTGGTAGTACTTGAATTTTATTTTATTTTCTGTAAATCCAAATCACTTGAAATTTTAGGTGTGTGTTCTTCTCATTAAGGCGCACCTAATAAAAATATAAAAACAATTATCCGTAAATAAAAATGATAAAAATACCCCTCTAAAATTTTCGGGGGTATTTTGATCAATTTATTTTATGTAAAATATTTTTTTGATATTTTTTATGTATACATGATCCAAATTTCAAGTGATTTGGTGTAAAAAAAAATTTTAAAATTCAAACACTATCGTATATCCGTGATCGTTAGATCTGCCCATATTCAATCTGGGCCGTTAGGCTCATTTTTTTTTGAGTTAGTGGGCTCACCCTAACATCTTCCATATGTGGAAAAAGCTGGGGTTAGCCCACTAGCTCATATGAACATATGAGCCCAACGGTCTAGATTGAATTTGAACCGATCTGACGATCACGAATGTCTGGTAGTACTTGAATTTTATTTTATTTTTTGTAAATCCAAATCACTTGAAATTTTAGGTGTGTGTTCTTCTCATTAAGGCGCACCTAATAAAAATATAAAAACAATTATCCGTAAAATATAAATGATAAAAATACCCTTCTAAAATTTTCGGGGGTATTTTGATCAATTTATTTTATGTAAAATATTTTTTTGATATTTTTTGAAGATTCACTTATTTATTATGAACACACGCCTAAAATTTTAAATCACTTGGATTTGTAGAAAATAAACTAAAATTCAAACACTACCAGACATATGTGATCATCAAATCGACCCAGATTTAATCTGGGCTGCTGGGCTCATATGTTCATATGAGCTAGTAGGCTAACCTTATCTTTTTCTTTCTCTCTCTCTCTC